ACTCATGCGGTCGACTATCTCCCATTCTGAGTCACTCAGATGGGAGTAGCCTTCACGTGTGACGTGAAAGCTGTCGTCTTAAACGTCCGGCATGTTTATGTTGGAAGGACACTAAGTAGTCGTTGGACGGACTACGAAGTGCTACCAGGTGTAACGGGGGACCGTTTGCTCGAATGCCACGAAACTTCACGTACACTAGTACGTGCAGATGAAGGTAATATACATAAAAATACTAGTTTAAGTGAAGGTAAAAAGAGAACTGTTTTTAATATAGTTGAGCTATCGATATAACTTTAATCTTTATCTAACTATATTAAACTACGTCGTCGGATGACGACAGCCTGCTCACCACCCATTGCGCGCGTCTAGCAGCGATTGGTGGCAACCTTGGTTGAAATGTCTTTATCAACCAATCATTCAGCAGCGCATGAATGTTCTTAAAGTAAGATAATATTCCTTTAATATTATTTATCTCGGGTAATATTGGCAGGGAATTGTCACGCTAGACAGTCTCCCTATCGAGACCGTTCGGTTTCATTGTTATGAAACGGGCTACCCCGCAACAGTCTGCATGCGCGCATGTCTAAAGCTCTCTGTGCACGACTATCTTAATGTCCTCCAGCATGCTATTATGCGGACCTACATTGCACATTAACAGATTTAGAACAGCACAGGAAAATAGGAAGTTGTTTCGTTGCGTACAGACAAATAATTATAACACGCGTCGCGTGCACACGATACGAATAACTCTAACACGCATGAAGTAAAGAACAAAAATGGAAGTGGCCGCCTTACCACCCACTAGCGCGGAAACTTTTGCATAAAAGCGATATGGAGATTGCTTGATGTTGTGAATGCGTCTGTTGTAAAATACACTAAGTGATCGAGAGCTAGGCGGACAAATAGGCTCCGAGTCCGCAAACGTTACAGGCAAAGCTTGACATAATCTTGCGTTTAAGAACACCTAAGAGCGACTGCGAAACATACTGAATTAGATCCGGTCGGTGTTTCATAACCGGTTATAATGATGTAACACCCTAAACGACATGATTATAAATAGCTAATTGTGTAGCGTTTTATCGAACTGAGAGGATTAATCAGAAAACTAGGAGGAGAGCCACGGTTCCTGTTACACGTTGCTGTTCATGGAGCAGCTACCAGCTCGCTCATAGTAATTGTCACAGTGTTTGTCATGATTGCGAGCGCACAGTACCGCCAAGCGATTGCAGTAATGACGCTTTACAGGCGCGTAATTAAACTCAAGTTTAGTACCTTTCAGACGTTTCTTTGCGCAGTGTCACAGTGCATCCCGGTACTACTATTGGCCCTGTCGTTTCTTTCGTTGTAGCCTCGACGACGCTGAGCTTAGCGGGCGTATCGTGTAACATTTGTTTGCCTGGACAAAGAATCGTAACTGCATTGCGCGATCGATCGATGAGTGCTTATTCGTTGGCAGTCCGCGTCCGTGTGCTCATAGCCGTTTTATTCGCGCGTGGTTGAAAGGACCACAAACGGTCGCTGCTGGTTCAACGAGCGGAAAACATGACATCCATCGCTGTTTCAAATCCTATCAGTTCGCACTGTCCATGCTTTAGGTTTCGCAGACAGAGTGCGACAGCTTTGAAGCGTGAAAGGGTGCGCATTCCAATCGCGAGATTGGACGAAACAACATCGTCTGCTGTGGACATTCGGTGACTAAAAAGGTGCCGTCCACTCTATCCTTGATTGGAAATGCATCGATCCTCCACATGTGGGACTAATTGGCACAGGGTGGATTGTCACAGTGGCCAAGAGACCGGCAGCATCCGTGCGCTTTTTGCCTGCCTCGACGTCCACATTAGTCACCAGCTATCGTTCCATCCGTCCGTCCGTCCAACGTCGCTCCATAGTCGCCCATTACGAGCCCGATATCTTGTTGTCGCCATTTTGCGTTTCTCACCTGCTTATTTCGTAGTGTATGAGCGGATAGTCACCCTGCACATACCCGAAAGGTAGTCGTTCCTGTCCTTGCTAGAGAGTCGACATCGTCGGGACCGTGTGGGAAAGACGGTGTAGAAACCTGCGGGTCCTAACGTAAGCCTCCAGACCGAACCAGCTCGAGCGTCGCCATCGAGGCTCATCCTTCCACAGCCAGAAAACCAACTCGCGGATTGTCCACTGCGATTTGCTGTAGATGCAAACCAAGCGATGAATCCTCGTCATTTCTTCATTTACCACCACTAGTAGCTGCCCCCTTCCTCCCTTCCTTCCTTCGGTTAGTGGTTCACATGACCCCTCTCTGCCAACTAGAAATTCCACCGAGGGGTGATAGTAAATGCCTCGACCAGTCTGATCGAACTTGCATCACCCCAAAGCGCAAACATCTGAGCGAAAGCTCGGAGGAGTTTCTTTCAACGCTCATAGGGACGAAACGACCGTGCGGACGACCCCGGGATGCCAATAATGTGCAGCTCAGTACGGCGCACGAGATTCGATTGCTCAAAGGTCAAGTGGCCTCGATGGATAAAGAACTGCGGGATCTTCAGACCAAGTGGACTCAGTGGGTTCCAGATAAAACCGCGCTGAGTACGGCGTACCGATCGCTATGTGAGAAGCGCGCAGCCAACATTGCGGAACAAACCCATGGGGAACTCCAAGTGCTCCTTCGACAGCAACAATTGGTGTTCGCGACGCTTCAGACGGCGGTCCTTCACGCCCCGCTGCATTCAAGTGGGTACGAACTCTTCGAAGCTCTGCACTTTCACACTAAACTCGGCCTGGAAACGGACGAGCGCGAGAACGTCCTCCTAGCGCACCGAGTGCGATCCCTTGCCACGCTCCACTCGATTGTGGACGAATTCTCGCAAGTGGCGCTCGCCAACGCTCGCTCGAAACAGAACAAAAGTGTTGGAGACAAGTCCATCTTGCCTCTATCTCAATTTGACGTCACTGGTTGCAAAGACTGCACACTGCTATCGAGCACGTTTATCTCGGAGATCCCCCACACATCGCTGGAAGAGGTCTATGCAGCTGTTTTGGCGTACTTTGATGCCATCCCTCGGTCCATGAAGACGCACTTTGGCGTTCATACCACTCGGTCAAGGTTGAATAACATCGAGTCTCCGGTCATTTATCGACGCTCGTCCTTCAGCGGGTCCGGCTTGGAAGCAACGATTAACAACATCGTGTGCTCGGAGTTGACGGCTTCACATGGTATGGTCCACGTTGACACAGTCACGAACGATCCATTGTACCCCGTACCGGCATCAGCTTCGTCGCAATGTGGACTTTGCGGCCTTACCGTCACCCCGCACAAAGATCCGATGACGGGCAAAACGCTGTCTGTGACCTTACGGTGGCTAGCGGTGTACCGCTACAACATGCTTCCACACGAGCTTGCTGATCAACAAGGTATGAAGATTATGCGACCGGTATTGAACGGAGACTTGATCACTGCCTCGGTCTGCGCCTACATTCAACAGCAGAGGCTCAAGTAGATCAAGTCTCGCAGGCTGGTTGTGATGAGACGCTTTTGCTCTGCCATGATGGTCCACTTTAGTCTTACAATAAGAGTTTTTGTTAGTCGGTAGTTGAAGCCTACGCGAGTGTCTTCTTTCAGCACAATGTCATAAGCACGTAAATATTGTATCCACCCGTCTACATGGTTCACGTTGTAAGCAGACGAGTCACGCAACGGGCGCTAGGCAACTGAAGAATTGCAATATACGCAAGTGGAGGTACGAGCGTAGTGGTTTCGACGTTCGGACCTTCAACGAGGTCCAAACTTCTGGCCAGCTGAAGATTGCGTGTCTCGATTCTCAGCCACAGTCAACAGCGATGTAAGCAAAAACGTCCTAGTATCGCTACATGTCACGAAGTGATATGCATCCTACCACCATGGAGTGACTGTTCGCAAAGTAAACAATACGCCAGGTACCAACATGCCTTTGAAGAAGCAGTTTATCGTCCTATACGTAAGAAGTGCCATTTTTTCCTATTTTTTGATTGTAACAGTCCGTTTGTATAACCATAATCGGAAAGTATGTAGGTATGCGGACATTCATTTGGTCGGCATGAGTATTTGTGGAGAGAGCTCAATGTCCTAGTGCGTGTACATGGTGCTGTCAACGAGTTCATTGAATGTTTCAGAGTTTTCACTACTGACACCTCTCACATTCTTGACCGGCTCGTTCAGTTAACCTTGCTCCAAATCGTTCCGCAGCGTGTTGATTAGACGCTATTTTGCGTTTCTCGAGTACCAGGCAAATAAGCAAAGAATGATTGAGAATCATCATCGGATACGAGATACAAATCTGGGTCAACAGCGACGGATATCTACCTAACGAGTGCATACGGCAGCTTTTTTTATCTCAGCATGCGCACTGACAAGAGTTTGCGTAGATACAAAGTCTGCGAGTGAATTTTGTGATTTACTAAACCGTGTCCGTTCTCCGCCCCAGCGCTGATCAGACGACCCGTCACTTCTTGGTTGTGGTTGCTGTGGTGTAAATAGGTTCTCAGAACAGCTGCGAGTTCGCATGATGGCTACAGCGTTATTTTATTTATAAGCTCGGATAAGTGATCAACATCAACAAAACAGCTGATACCTAGTGCTCGTTTCTTCGATCAACAGACAGCAGCGCGTCGTACTCCACACGGACGTAGTGCAGCCTACATTGTGTTTTTTCCAGGCACGAAACCGAATCGGAGGACGCCTCACTTTGAAATTTCCGAAGGTGCAACGATCAATTATCGATGAAGGTGCGTCCGATAACAGAGTCGGAGCCCTTAAACACTTTTTCCAGCAAGAATCTAGCCATCACGTCCCAGAGTCACCCCGATGCAGAGTCCACGGCCTCGAAAGTCATGAAGAAGCGAATCCATGCATCACGAACGGTTGATGACAGTATCACTGTGCCCAATAAAAAGTCAAGAGACCCCCGTGTAGGTCCGGTAGCTCAATCAAAGTACCCCTCACAGCCACGCATGAACTTCGCTTGCTGAAAGCGCAAGTAAATTCCATGGAAACGGATCTGCACAAGTTGAAGTCCAAGTGGGCTCGGGACTTACCGGACAAGCACATCTTAGCTACAGCTCAGCGTTCAGCCTTAACGAAGTGTGCGGTAGCCCAGACTCAGGCAACGCAGGATGAATTGCAGGAGGTGCTTCTTCAACAGCAGCTGATGTTTGCTACGCTACAGACAGCCATCTCGCGCGCCCCGTTGCATTCAAGCGGCCAAGATGTCCTCAAGTCGCTGCATTTTGATACCCGCCTTCGACACGACACGGTGGAACGCAGTAGAGTGCTTCTTGCACACACTAAACGCTCGCTAGCCACAATACCGTCAATCGTGCATCGGTTTACTCAAGTGGCAATCGATAAAGCGCTTGCTTCTAAAGATGACGAAGGCGCCACCATTGAATCGGTACTACCGTTATCTCGGATTGATATCACGGGTTGCAAGGACTATACACTCGTGTCCAGCGTTTTTGCGTCTGAGATTCCACACAGCTCACTAGAAGATGTATACGCTGCTGCATTGGCGTATCTCGATGCGATTCCAGAAGCACTAAAACGTCACGTAGGTGCCGAGTTGACACGCACGAGGCTTAATACGGACAACGACCCTGCAGGCTATTGGCGACTTGAACTTAGTGGGGTTGGGCTGCCAGCAACCGTGAACCATATTGTGTGCTCAGAACTAACACCATCACATGGAGTGATACACATGGATGCAGTCATGCATGACACGTTGTATCCAATTTCACGAGGGAACGACTTGGAGTTTGGTATCGCCGGGCTTACAATTACGCCGCATGAAGAAGATGGGACCAACAAGACTGTAGCGACCATGTTGCGATGGGTCGTTTTGTACCGCTACAATCTGCTGCCGAATGACCCTGCATTACGAAGAGACTTGGAGTGCACTCGTTCTATTCTGAATGGTGATCTGATCACAGCCTCAGTGTGTTCGTATCTCCGGCAACTGCAACACCAGCGTGCTACGTTCCATCAAAGCAACAAGTAGCCAGACCGTCGTTTTAGCGGAAGCCCTCAAGTATCTCGGAGCAAGAGACAGTTGTTGCGCATTCGACTCTTCAAGTTCTGCGGGACAAAACTGTGTGGTCTGTAATTTTCCTACCGCTGATAGCGGGAAGGGAGGGAGACTAGACTAGCGAATGCATAGTACTGAGAGTTGGCGCTGTGAGCTCTTTCCGTTTTAGGTGTCCGGTTCTGCAATGCGGCATCGGTGTGACGTCTCGTGGAGAAAGACAATTCATCATCAACTACGTTTTCTTCGGTGCAATGATCGCATAGGGACCCAGCGTTTTCCCCGTCCTGTTCTTCCTACTCTTGGCGTATCGAACGGAGATTTGAGGAGTATTGCCTACGCTCTGTGCGCCAATGTGCACGGCTGTCTACCTTTTCGCGACCTCGAGAATGATGACGCGTTAAAAATACATTTGCGTCTCAACGATGGTTACTCGGACGCTTGCATAAGTTGCACAAAATGTCGTTTTTTGTAGTAGAAAGTAAACGAGCCATCTCGGGAGTCTGTATACACTGACAAACACGAGAAAGGAGCATCCTCTACAGATTCGCAGTATACGAAAATTGCTCAGGCTCTATGGCCTGAGCGAGAATAGCAACGATTCTTTCACCTCGTTTTTAAGGCGACATGAAGGGCAAGAGAAGAAGTGACCGAACTGACAATGTACCAGGGTGATCATATTTTTGTTTAAGGGGTATGTGTGACTGCTCGCCTAAATCAAGTTCTCACACGGTATCTTAAGTGCATCACAATTCTTCGAATGAAAATTGAGGGTTGGTCTCACAACGACCGTCGCACGTCTTAGAAAGATCAACCTTGATGGCGCTTGTGGGAGCCTGCCTAACAATGAGAACGTCTACTCGGTAAAATTACCCGCAGAAAGGTAGTCACATCTCAAAATGACAACAAATCACCTCAAATATGCATGATGGGAGGCAATATGAAAATTGGGTACATTGATATGCCATAATGAGCCGATCGCTTACCAAAAATGCGGCTGCGATTCGATGAGAATATCTAGGTGTTCGCTGTTAAGGCAGTAGCGGCCTACCTTATCGTAGTGCCGTCATTGGATCTGCAGAAAGACTACGCAATTGATTTTTGTAGATCTGTCAATATGTGATTGCGAGCCCCAAGGGTAAAGCTAGCTTAATAACTCGTACTTATCTGTCTGTGTATCTGTAAATATCGCTAGGGGTGTCTTACATGCCGTGCTAAGTGCAATGTAGCCTGTCCCCTCCTCAAAGGCATATAAAGTGTTATATTAACCCCTTTTTGGTTGGTTTCAGTCATTTATTCGTTCGCTAAGTTAACACGTGTAGCAAAAGGAAGTCGTTGGTTGATATTTCGTTGCTTTTATACTTATTTTCTCTTACATACCCTCGCAAGCTGAATAATTGTTATGACTATACAAATGATTATGATCATAACGCCGACAAACATGAGTATTCTTGTCCCCAATATGTGATGGCAGATCAATAAGAAATCGCCGTATACTTATAGCCAATGTTGATCTCAGTATTTGCAGATTCAGCCACTCAATGGATAGGGTTAGGGCAATAGCGTTCAAACAATATTCTGATATCTTCTGTCAAAACGAGTTCGAAGATATGTGGTGGCGGCATATGTGCCGAGTCAGAGGTGTACGATGCTGCATATTGTGAAAACCCCGACAAAGTTACAATTATAAAAAATCGGAATCACGTATGTAACGGGGCACCCTGAAGCTTGTACTGGTGACAGTACAAGCTACTTATTCTGATGACAGAATAAGGCGGTGCCTCGGAACTTCACGTACACTCGTACGTGCAGAGGAAGACGGTAAGAAGAAGCGAGTACTTGGTTAAAGTAAAAAGTAGAACTGTATTTATAATAGTTAATGTCTGCAATAAACCCCCTGTTTATCTTCATCTAACTATGTCTAAATACAAATGTGTAAATCAGTTATCTGCTCACCACTCATTGCGTGCGTCTGTCGTGGCGCGTCTTCGTTGGTTGATATAATGGCCTATGTCAATCAATTAGGAACTACTCGTAAGTGCTACAGAATGTTTGTCCTTATGACAATATTCTGAGAATATGACTCTTTAAGTTATATTCTATTAGCAATTTCTTATAAATTGTCATGTAACGATTCACCCCGTTACATCACCCCCCCTTAACCATCAGTCACTTTATTGACTGATTGACTAAATGGATACTCGTCCCAAATCATTTGGGACAGGGTTTGCACTTGTTGGTCCGCGTCCACTTTCCAACATTTCATCGCATGGTAAACAAGCCCATGCGATGCGCGAGCAAGGCCGCCGAGAGCGCGTCTGCACGTCTCTGTGCGGACGCCGAAGCAGAAACCACAGCAACTGATGTCTCATCGGTTGCTGAAGCGACCCAGCCTGTGTCACTTGGTGATGCAGGCGCTGGTCATGAAGACACTCGTGTCTTCACAGAGTACGAGCTCGGTGTCTCGTACTCTTCTGATACGGATGACGGATCCGTATCGACGGCGATTGAATCCAAGCCGCCTGCCTAGCGTGGCATGGACGATGCTTTGCGTCGCAGCATCTTTGGTTCATCTGATGAATCAGATGAACCATCGCCGAAGCGAAGGCGCTCGAGGTCGCGAGACTCGGGCGCTAATAGTGGTGTCGGTTCTCCTATTGACACCACTTCGCAACGAGGTGCCAGTACTTCTGTCGGCACGACGCAGGAAGAGCGGGACCGCAATGTCTTGCGTCTCGCTCCAGAAAAGAAGGCATGGATGCCTCCAAAATCCGTCATGGATCACTTGTCGGCGACGACGAGTGATCGTTATCGAACACGATTGTTCGATTCGTCAAGGATCCATCACCTTGACCCCAGCGCGAAAAACTATCGCGCTGAACATGAATTCTTCATCGATGCTTTCTTTAGACATCGATGGTACAGCGGGAATCACAAACGTGATGGTCCCTCACTACTTCAGGCGTGGAACGCCTACATCCATAACCTCGAGGATGTAGGTCGTGACGCTTGGAACGACAAACTTATCAAAGCTCGTGATAAGTTTGAAAAGCGAACCCCGACAGGTGCACGCTACAAGCTGCATCGTCTGTCAAGGGAGAAGGGATTACCCTGCCTCTCATGGGGAGACTCATTCCCATGTTGTGTGAACAACTCTGCACGAGCACCTAAGGAGGCTTACCTCCTTACCAGCCCGTGGTGGCGCGTACGTGTCTCTACTGAGATGTACGAAGGTATTGACAACCTGAAGTCCCTTTACGACCGTGCCGGGAAGACTTTCTCCGGCGGTCCTTCTGCGGCACAGGATGTGCCGCGTCGTACTGCTTAACCAGACCCAGTACGTCAACCATCAGTTGGGAGCGGGGCTCCCAAGAATCCCAGGACGGGGGATAGCCGCGCCACCGGACGAGATAACTCGTCCGACGTCCGTTCACGCCGCGGTGGTTCAACAGATGCTCAACTAGATAGCGCTGGCCACCACGAGAGTCCTCTAATGGAGGTGGAGGAGGAGGAGAGAAGACGCTCTCCACACTATCGTGGGGAAGCGTGTGTTCCCGAGAGCTTCTTTGATCACGTAACGCAAGGGTTACGCGACGATCTCGAACATGAGCGGAATAGGCGTCTCCAAATGGCGGACACTGCCTCGAAGCATCGAGCTGAGTTTGCCTTTGCTCAGCCTGAGAACGAAAGAGCTATGACATCTCTTCGTGACGAGCTAAGGGTAGCTCGTGGGAATGTTGATCGGTCTCGGGCTGAGATAACTGCTCTTCAGACCCTTGTTGATGCCCACCATCGGGAGCACAAGGCTCTCTGCGAGATGCTTGAGCGCAAGGGCGTTCTTCATCGGAAGAAGCAGCGTACTGATGGTACGGCTTAAGCCGACCAACGTAAAACGTGGGATGCGTTCGCATCTTACGTGGTAACTCGATCGTGTATGCATTGCCTAGGCGGTGCAATACACGAAATGGGCCAATGTACTTGGGTAGTAGTTTACTGCTACCCAAGTTAGTCACTACATGCTTTGGTAGATTAACCGTAGACAGTAGGACTAAGTCACCTTTGTTAAATAAAAGAGTGTTTGCCCTTCCATTCTTGTCAGCGTTTTGCTTTTGCTTGTCCACCGCTTCGGCGATGGAGTCTTGCACAAAACGGACTACCGTTTCACGAGCCAGTATGAACTCATCTGATGACTCGTTAGCTTCAGTGTGCTGTGAGCACACTGCAGCAACAACAACCTTTTCTTCAGTGAGGGCTTCCGCACTCTCGCTGGGATCATTGTCTTCAGTGAGGGCTTCCGCACTCTCACTGGCATCATCTTCTTCGATATCGATGTTATCGATATCGGCATCAAACGCAATGACTTCTTCGTCAGAGCGTGATGAGCGTGAACCAATTCGGTTTTTGCTCGCGCGAGTCCCTCCCCCCTTAAACCAGAGTTACACTCTAGTAAGGTGGGTACACGCGGATGGCGCAAGCCATTCACGTAAAACGGTGTATGTGTCGTGGACGCATGCACCGAGTTGTTAATGGCAAACTCTACCATTGGCAAAAACTCACTCCAACTCTTAAAGGAGTGTACGTATCCTCGAAGTATATCTTCAAGGACACGATTGGCACGTTCCGTCTGACCATCTGACTCTGGATGATCAGATGTCGACATCTTCAAGCGCGTTCCGAGTGATTTGAACACGGAACGCCAGAAATCAGCAGTGAATCGTGGATCTCTGTCTGATACGAGTTCACGGGGCAACCCATGAAGTCGGAAGATGGTGTCAATAAAGACACAAGCACAGCCACTTGCCGTGATTGTCTCTGGTACAGCCACAAGGTGTACCATTTTGCTGAATCTGTCAACAAATACGAGAATACCCGTATTCCCGCGTGCGTCTTTGGGTAACCCGAAGACGAAATCCATTGAGATGGATTCCCAGCACTCAGCCGGAACCGGTAGAGGCTGTAAAGGTGCACGCAGTGAA